GCCGTGGACAGCAGGCCCTGGGCTCCACAGCGTCACTAGACAGCTGCCTTTCTTTGACTTGGGACGGGGTGTGGGGATGGCCTGATGCTGAGGGAGGGGAACCCCGGGTCTGGGGAGGGGAGCAGGGTCCGGCAGGGGCTCTATTTGACTTGTTGATGTTTTGTCCATCTTGGGGGTTTTTTACGTTCATTTTGATCTTCACATCACATGACAATGGAATTATCTGTCCTGATGACTGGTTTTTCCCCAGTGCTGAGGACGGGACCCAGGGGGCTCCGCCCTGGGCTCCGTCCCCAGTTGTTTTGGTTTTTATTTTGAGACAGGATCTAGCAGAGTTTCCCAACTGGCCTTGAACTTGCAATCTCCTGCTGCAGCCTCCTGGGTGGCTGGGTCCCGGCCACTGCACCCAGCTTCTCTACTGGGGTTTTGCTCCCCTTTATGTTGTGGGCCTGAGGGGAGGGCCTCGCTCCCCACGCTGCTCTCCGTCTGAGAGCCAGGCCCCCACGTGCCATTTTGCAGATGTCAGGTCGTTTCATCCTCAGATGGTCCTGCGAGGTTTGTCTTGTGGCTCCCAGGTTAGAGATGAGGCAATTGAGGCCAGAGAGGCAAGGTAACTCGCCTGAAGGCACACAGCACAAAGGGGCAGAGGTAGGATCTGAACCAGGCTCTCTGGCTCCACAGCCCTCACTTCACCACCACCCAAAGTCCTCTCCCCTTTGGAGCAGCGCCTGGCCCAAGGCTCTCTTTTGTTTTTGAGGGTCCCGTTCAAACCAGCTCTGATTACTTTTCCACTGGGGGACCCTTGAACTTTGGGGAATTCTCATCTCTGAGCCTAGCATCCCAGCGTCCTGGGAGGCTGCAGGCAGGGTGGGGGCTGTGTTCCGGGGCCTGGCAGCTGCACCGCGTTGGGTTGGCCGGTGGCTGTGCCTGTGGTGGCTGTGCCTGTGCAGGACTCCATGTGGCCTCAGCGGCTGCTGGTAGCCAGGGATGTTTACAAGGTCTCGCGGGTGCTTCAGATGCATGGCGCGTGCAGGGTAGAGAAAACACAAGGCCCTTTCCATGTCATCTCTACTCAGTTTCTATGCGGACCAAGGACTATAAACTTAAAAAAAAAAATGTTTTTCCTAAGGTACCTTCAGAATATGGTGTATTTTTATGTGGAAAAGAAAAGTTATGATGGCAGCTGTTACTTTAAGAGAAAATTCATTAAAAGTCCTCGCGGGATGGAGATGACGTGTGCTCCTCAATCATTTTGGCATAGCTCGATTGTGGCCGTAATTTTTTTTTGTCAAGCATGTCCGACAATAAAGTCTTTGTAAAAAGAAAGCGAGGTCCACTGGGTGCTGTTTCCTGTGTGTCCCTGGGTGTTGTGTGGGGCAGGTGGTGGAGGGGTCCGGGGTCCTGGATGGAGTTGGAGGCTGGGGACCACCCATGTGTCCAGGACTGCACACCTGTCTGCGCCAGCTTCCCTGGGCTGGAGGGTCTCAGGGAGGGTGCAGCAGGTCTCAGGGACATCTCAGGAATTGGGAGCACACCTGGCGAGGCCGCGGTGGCCTTGCTTCTCCCCTTCTCTTCCTGGGGGTTTTTGTTTTCCTTGGTGACTTGAACTACTGCAGCCCGAGTGTTTACAGTCTCTCAAAGCAAGTGCCTGGAGATGGCCATAGCTCTGGACCCTCCCTGGAAGTGACCTGTGCAACTCAGCCCATAGCCAAGGGCCCCGGCACTGTCCAAGCAAAGCACTGCAGGTAAAATGACCCCAGTCTTGCAGCCCCAGTCTTGCAGTTATTCCATTATATTTGTCTGTCCATCCATCCAACCATCCACCAGTTCAATCGCTGATCTACCCATTAACTCATTCTTCCACATATCCACCCATTTTTGTCCATCCGACATCTATCCATCATCCATCCATCTTCCACCATTCACTGTCCTTCACCCATCTATCATTCATCCACCCACCTATCCATGAATCATCCATCATCCATCATCCATCATCCATCCATCATCCATCATCTACCCATCATCCATCATTCAAATCATCCTTCATTCATCTATCATTCATCCACCCACCTATCCATGCATCATCCATCATCCATCAACCCATCCATCATCCATCAATCCATCTATCATCCATCCATCATCCATCATTCATTATCCTTCATCCATCCATCCATCCATCCATCCATCCATCCATCCACCAATCATCCATCCATCCACCTATTCATGAATCATGCGTCATCCATCATCCATCCATCTTCCATCCATCATCCATCAATCCATCCGTCATGCATCCATCATCCATCATTCATCATCCTTCATCTATCCGTCCACCAATCACTCATCCACCCACCTATCCATCCATCATTCATCAATCAATTCATCATGCACCCATCATCCATCATTTATCATTCATCATCCTTTATCTATTCATCCACCAGTCACACATCCACCCACCTATCCCTCTATCTGCCATCATCCATCTTCCATCCATCATTCATCAATCCATCCATCATGCACCCATTATCCATCAGTCATCATCCTTCATCCATCCACCTACCAATCACCATCCACCCACCTATCCATGCATCATTCATCAGCCATCAGCCGTCCATCATCCATCAATCCATGCACCTGTCATCCACCTATCCCTTATTCACACCGCACTTGCTGGGCCCTTCCCAGGGGCCTGGCTTGGACAGAGGCGGTGGTCTAGTGGTGTGGCCGGTGGATGTAGGAGAGACTGGTGAGAGAGGAGGTGGAGACGAGGCTGTGGGTCTTGGCCATTAGTCATGGAGGGAGAGCATGGAGCAAGAGGAACAGGTTCAAGCGTGGACGTTCGGTTTTCTTTGGACCTTGGGGCACAAGTGATAGGGATCCAGTGGCCAGTGACTATATGAGGAGCGTCCCTGGGGACAATGTGGGCCATAAGTGTAGCCACAGGCTAGGGACACCTCTCAGGGAGTGT